TAGCCCATGTTTGAGGCGCATTATTTTTTTCATTATCATTTTTCTACTCATTTTCAATCATATATTTTTCAATAAAATAATATTTTCCATCACATCAATAACTTTTCCTTCTTTTTCAACCACATATTCCCATCACATCACTTCAAAAAAATGTATTCTCTCATTTTAATGTGCATCGAACGGGCTTTGAATCTGTAACATTTTCATGTTTTATTCACCATGCCACGTATTCTTCACTATTAATTGTAATGTTATTTTCAAAATGTTTAGCATTCTTATTTACACCTCCTTCAATAACGATTTTGCTAATGTGGTATAGTTCCTTGGAACAAATAGAAGTATTTTTTTTTTTTTTTAATCATTCAACAATTTGTATTCACAAGCCTTGTACAATCGTCGTTCATAATCAAGATCAAACTTATGATTTGTAATAGAAGTGTTCTCTGAAATGACATTGATTCGGGATGGGCCCTGTGGGTATCGTGTTTAACGAGTTTTTTTGACATCTCTAGATAATTGATTCAATTTTCGTTTTCATATTGGAGAAAAAATAAATTATGCTCCAATTTGGTTTTGCTATAAATTAAATTTTTAGTAGATTTTGATAAAAGTTGATAAAATATGTGGTTGAAAATTTATAAAAAGTTTTGAGTCCCATTAAATATATTATTATAATTAATTGTTGATCAACTTTTTTAGCCAAGTTAGTCTTGCATTGAACAATTATGGTTCTTCGTGACCCATGACACTAAAAAATAAATAAACGTTTTCAGTTCTTCCTAACATCAATCTAATCCTCTTACATTGTGCCTCATTTTTAAACTTGGATAATTAATATCATTAAATTATTTATGCTCTTCATTTAAGGTGTATGCCAAAAATTTATAGCATGGGTTCCCTAATTATTTTCTCTGTTATTTTCAATGATTTCTTCATATGGGTTGTGGTTTATTTTCACTGATTATACTATGGAATCAGTGATAAATCTTGACAATTGAAAAATACGAAATACCTCAAAATTCAAAGAAGAGGAGAATCAGAAACTTTTGGAGAAAGAGAGACAAACTCATTGACGATCGATGGTGGATGACGTGGACACTCGACCGTCAATTGAAATCGAATTTGCAAAATATTTAAGAAAGAGAGAAGAGAAGGTGGGTAAGGTTTGAAGGATTTGAAATTGGAATGACCTATCTAAAGCGTGCTCCTGACGATTAAAGTTATGTATTGTGCAACATGCAGTAGGGATTTGTCTTTG